GTATTCGTTAAAACGTTGTTTTTTCTCAATAAACATAATCAAAGGTGTTTTTGATATTTGATATCACCTAAATATATGTAAATGCCAATAAGTCATGACATTTTTTCTGTAAGAGTAGGACTGTATTATGACATTGCACGCTCTGTTCAAACTCGATCTGTAAGTGTAATGAATGATGTTTTTGAAGTCTTCCTTTTTATTGTGCTTTTTTGGAACCATCATGCATTTTTGCCCATTGTCATATTTTATTTCCTTGCTCGACAGTTAGGCATATGTAAAACTTGCAACGAACACACAACTTCATGTCGAAATCAAACGTTATAACTTAAAGCGTATTTCACGGCAATCATCGCTCAATTTATACTGTATATTTCCATACTCATCGTCCTGTCACTATTATGCTGTGGCGATATAGAAACTAACCCCGGCCCCTTTCATCCTTCTGCTAACTCCTCGTCAATATCCTCTGACGAACCTGTATCTTTTACACTTAATAATAATTGCTTATCATTCGTCCACCTGAACGTACAAAGCTTGCGTCCAAAACTAGATGTTCTGTACACCGAACTTTATGAGCATAGTATTTTAGCATTTACCGAAACTTGGCTTTCTGACTCTGATATTGATTCGTCCTTGGATATTTCTGGTTTTCAGAGTCCTTTTTGTTACTGTCGTAATGACGCCGTTGGTGGGGGTGTTGCTGTTTATATAGCAGCCAATCTTTTTGTCGAAAGAAGGTCCGATATTGAAGTTGACGATGTCGAATGTGTTTGGGTTGAAATAGCATCCAAAGGTCAAACATTTCTATTTGGTACTTTCTATAGACCACCAAATTCTAACATAACTGTATGGACCAAATTTGAGGAATCCATTGGTAGGGCAATTAACTCTAGTATTGGAAATGNGCTAAGAGAACTATTAGAAATGTCGGATTGCCCTCAAGTATATGATGCTAATATCGATCTAGCATGCAAGCGTCTAACTGACTTCATCGATTCCGCTTCTTCTTCGGCTATCCCTAACAAAACGGTCATTATGAGAAAACGTGATCATCCATGGATGAACAAAAAAATCAGAAAATTAATATCAAAACGTAAAAAAAATCACAATAAGGCTAAACTTACTGATAGCCAATCTGACTGGTCTATTTTCAGACAGACCCGTAACAAGTGTGTAAATGCCATTAGACAATCTAAAGAATCTTATTTTAACGGTTTGTCATCAAAATTATCTGATTTAAGACAATGCAACAAGTCATGGTGGTTAACTGTAAAACTCTTCATGAACAATAGTGGTAAATGTGGAGAAATACCAACGATTTTTCATGATAATGTCTATTACGAAACTAATGTTGATAAAGCTAATGTTTTTAATTAATATTTTTCAAGTCAATCCGTTGTGGATGATTCAATGGTCATGCTTCCTCCACTAATATAACTCCCTAATCGTATTTGTCTGAGTAATATAAATAAATCATGTACTGATGTTAAGGATGCCTTACTCAATTTGAAAACTGGTAAAGCTGTAGGACCAGATCTTATTAGTCCCAAAGTGCTCAAGGAAGCTGCAACATCACTTGCTGAGCCACTATCTATATTTTTTAATAAATCCTTATCACAAGGAATATTTCCATCATCGTGGAAAGAAGCAAATGTTTTACCTATATATAAAAAAGATAGCCGTAATGATGTTAAAAACTATCGACCAATTTCACTTTTAAGTATAATTGGTAAAGTGTTCGAGAGGTGCGTTTATAAACATGTTCATAATTTTCTTCTTGATTTGAAAGTAATAACAAAATATCAATCAGGTTTTACACCAGGCGATTCCTCTATTAACCAATTATTAAGTATTTCCAACGATTTTATTAAGGCATTAGATTCAGGTAAAGAAATAAGAGTAGTATTTTGTGACATCAGCAAAGCATTTGATAGGGTTTGGCACAAAGGGCTGTTGTATAAATTATCAAAAATTGGAATAACTGGATCGCTGTTAAAATGGTTCGAAAGCTACTTAACGAATAGAAAACAAAGACTTATAATCAATAATATTCACTCTGATTGGGCAGGAGTTAAGGCTGGAGTTCCACAGGGTTCAATACTTGGACCTTTGTTGTTTTTAATCTATATTAATGACATAGTCAACGATATCAAATCTTCTATCAAATTATTTGCTGATGATACTACTCTGTACATGATAGTTGAAAACCCCTTAGAAACAAACAACATTATGGAGTCAGATCTACAAAAAATTACTGAATGGTCCAAATCTTGGTTAGTTGATTTCAATCCTAAAAAAACGGAAAGCATGACCCTTAGTAGAAAAAGAAACAATCAACCACATCCAATCTTACATATGTGCAATGAAGAAATATCAGAAGTACTGTTGCATAAACATCTTGGAGTTCTTTTTTCGAATAATTGCAGTTGGGTTGAACATGTTAAACAAATAATTCAGAAAGCAACGTCTAGATTAAATATTATGCGATCTCTAAAATTTAAACTCGACAGGCAAACATTACAAAATATATATTTTTCGTTTATTAGACCACTTGTAGAATATGCTGATACTGTCTGGGATAGCATTCCCAAAGAATATATTTCTAAACTAGAGAATGTTAATTTGGAAGCTGCTAGGATTGTTTCAGGTGCTACTAAACTTGTAAGCTTAGACAAACTATATACAGAAGTTGGATGGAATAAATTAATAGACCGTAGACTTAATCATAAATTGTTACAATTCCATAAAATGTTTTATCAAAATACTCCAGAGTATCTGTATAATCTCTTACCTAATTCAGTTAGTGATGTTCATAGTTATAATACCAGACTTTCTGACCCATCATGTCTGTCACCTATTCTTTGTAAAACAAATATTTATCTAAATGCATTTCTTCCTTCTGCTGTAAACAATTGGAATTCTCTTCCATTACATATTAGAAATAACCCTTCCATTTCCCATTTAAAAGCCTTTCTGAAATCTAATAGTAAATCATGTCCACCTTCATACTACTTTCAGGGTTCACGTCTGGGTCAAATCTACCACGCAAGACTGCGTATGTCATGTAGCTCCCTAAAAGAACACTTGTTTACGAAAAACATCATACCATCCCCGAATTGTTCCTGCGGTGCCATTGAGAACTCAACACATTATTTGCTAAAATGTAATAAATATACAGCACTTAGACAGCTTCATATTCTGAGTTTGCCCTATCAACTATCAACTAATCTTTTAATCTTTGGTGATGACTCTCTAACCCATCAAGATAACACTACGATTTTTCTAGCCGTCCAAAATTATATACTCAAAACTAAAAGATTTCAAATAAACGAATAGTCCTTAACAATTTCATTTAGATATATATATATATATATGTATGTTGTGTTGCATTCGTTTTACTACTATGTTTTAAAATGTATTTGGACTTATATGCTTATTCAGTGATTTTGCCATTGCATTTCTTTATACCATATTATGTCACTAACTCGCCATGATTATGATTGTTTGATAAAAGTGATGTGTTACCTTGAAAGAGCAGGACGTACCAGGGACGAGGCGGGAAAGTGTTTTATGGACTTATATTTGATAAGTGTGATGGCTAGTATGTGAACTGCAACGTTTTTAATAATCATGGCGGTGCTTTGTGACATACTAATTTTGTCAATAGTTGATTTAGTGGTGATTTATTCTATGTAACTTGTATATACATTTTAACCTTTTTCGAGTGTCCACTTACAGGACTTGCTGACATTTTCATCTAATATTCCATTGTTATATTTTACAGAATCGTGTTCCACATACTCATCGCAATAGAGCAATATGATATTACCATCTGATGATCATATGTATATTGATATGTTATTCATTCCTGGTTTCCACTGCATACCAATCCATTACCCCCTCCCCTATTATATTGTACATATTACTTCATTCTTGTAGCTAGTGTTGAAAAGCTGATTACTAAGCAGGTAACAAATTTACATAAGTGTCATGACACTTGTTTTTGTTTCCTTTTCTGTTTTATAAAACATGTATTTCGATGTATTGTCAAACAAAATTTGAATAAAAAAAAGTTTAAACCAAAGGTGTTTAAACAAATCGGTTTCGTTTAATAAAACATTTGTATTATAGGCTATGAAAAATTAGTTATATCTGCTTTCAACGAACATTCATTGCAAAACATGTTTACGGCTTAGATTTTGTTTTTAGAACAAATCGATTTTCGTTAAATAAATAATTTAATGAAATGATTTTACAAATTTGTTTTTATCTGCTTTCATCGGCAATAAATGCCGTCCCTGTTACAAGTCTTACACCAGGGTATGAACGCAAATCGATTTGCGTTTAAATAGGAGACAGTTTGAATTAAAAGCAATGATAAATGTGTTTAATCTACTTTCACTGAAAAGGAAAGGCAGCACATATTATAAGGCTCACATTTAGGTAACAGATCTATTTCCATTTGTTCGTTTTTTATATAAAATGATTTGTAAAAATTAGTTCACTCTGCATTTATTGGCAATGAACTGCAGCACATAGTATAAGGCTACAACTTAGACATTCAAACACATTGATTTTCGTTAAATAAGACAATTTTATTAATGTCATGACAAATCTATTATACATGCAAACACTTACAAATAATGGAATCACATACACAAATGCTTACACCGTCACTGATATGGAAATGGATCTTTTGATTGTTGTTATTTGCAGATTTACGAATTTTCCCCTTTAACATGACGTGTTAATGTTTCAATGAACATTTATTTATTTTATATCAAACTATTAGACAAGATGTCCACATTCAGTAGTATAAATGTTTTTTTATAAGACTGTATCTTCGATTTTTCACAATTCCCCTGTTGAAATATTTTCTGTGCTTTCTGATGTCTAATCATAATTGCTTTGTCTTTAAAAGATTGCCTAAAGGATCAGGAATTAAATAACTAAAACAACACCAATCAGTAGTAATACGTGTGTGGTTTACGAGACAATACCTTAGCTAAAGTGCCTGAAGATGGCTCCTCTAAGACACTCCACACTTTCGCCTCAAGAGCTCGCCATCCTGTTCCGTGTTGTCTTCGCGCGATTTCCAATTTTTCATTTGTCCTGGCGGCTTGGTCTGTTTCCAAGATTTTCAAAACGTTCTGGTCGTCAAAGAAGCCAACATATCGACTGTAGCAGCATTTTGCCATTTTTTCCGGATTGATTCCCCAGAATTCCAGCTCGTCATTGAATTCAGAAGGACACAGAGAAGACGGCATATGTAGTTCCCTGTTTTGGAAATATCCCAACACTGCAGGGAAGCAAATAGGATGCCTTTCAAAGAAATGGTCACCCGATTTTGTTATCTTATAGAGATTAGAGGTTTCCTTCAAGCCGTGTTTCTGTTGTAGGTTACTCTCTATAGATATCCATGTGTCTTTTGAGATTTCAAACTTTGTGCCGCTTATGCTGACTATGATATGTTCTTGATCCTCCATATTAGCTTTCTTTGTATATAATATGCGATAAGTTGTTAATCTTTTAAAAAAAATGTTATAAGTTAGTATACTGTGATTATTGAATCCCTGTAAATGACTCGTCCTTGTTGTAATCAGAAATAGCAAGTTGATGTGAAACTATCGATCCAGTGTATTTATATAGCTTTACTACCTGTGTTAAATCATGGAAATACTATCATTTTCAGTGCACTTCATACGAATTGATATGCCAGACCGGGGTTGTTGTTGAAGAGCTGAAATCGATTAGTGTCAACACAGACGATGTCGCTTAGTGGAATATACAATGAAGGTACCAATGTAGATTGCACTTTTTGTGCAGAATTCACACGCTTGAAGATACAAAAATGTTTCTATTTTTAAAGGTTATTCCACAAATTATAAACAACTTTTACACAATGAAACCTATCTCCCGAAGATGTCATTTTTTGATATGCGTCGTAGGTGACAGGTAGTGGGGAAATGATAACATCATGTAGGAGCAGTTTTCATGTACGAGGTATATGAATAATGTATCATATAGAAAACATTGCTGATCCGGGGCATAATGGAAATATGACGCCAGTATTCGACCTATGGAGTAAACAACATCATTGCGACTCATTAGCGTTGTAACAGGTATTGTTAAAGGGTAGTAAAGGTATGATAACAAGCCAGCGCAATTATCTTGGTCATATTCAAAAGAATATAAATTGTATATCTTGAGAATGTATCAAGCTTTCTAAGAACATCGATACCCGGATTATTGCCATTGATATTCAAATAATGTGTTTTTAACCGTATGCTTTTAATTTGTTGCCACACAAAAAGAATCAATATATATATAGATATTGCTTATAAAATCAATACACAAGTTCTATTCATGTAGCCAGGTTAGGTGTGTTCAATCCAAGACCATAACAAACAAAACAGATCACTACTCAGTATGAAATTATTTCATTTTAAAACTGTTATTATGAAACTCTAACAAACGTATTTATGACGTTTTATCTGATATGTTTTAAGTAACCCTTTGTTCCTGTCAAAATTTGAAGCATGTTTACTTACACTTCTTATTTTTTTATATATCTAAAACTGGATCTCTTTTCACACATTTTTTTTTATTCAGATGTGTCCAAAATTCAAGCTGTTTGATAATGATATCTTCGAATGCGTAACCATGCCGCATCTTTGTCTTAAAATGATTCATTTACGAGTTTATATCCTCAGGATGGATGTTCAAGTTTCACATTGGCTTTTATACGTTTTTAAAGTGGTTTGGTTTTTTAACAGCTATGGTCATTTAAGGACGTGCCAGGTTTGGTTTGGTTTGTTTGAGTGTTACGTCCTATTAACAGCTATGGTCATTTAAGGATGTGCCAGGTTTGGTTTGGTTTGTTTGTATTGTACATCCTATTAACAGCTATGGTCATTTAAGGATGTGCCAGGTTTGGTTTGGTTTGGTTTGGTTTGTATTTTACATCCTATTAACAGCTATAGTCATTTAAGGATGTGCCAGGTTTGGTTTGGTTTGTTTGTATTTTACATCCTATTAACAGCTATGGTCAGTTAAGGACGTGCCAGGTTTGGTTTGGTTTGTTTGTATGTTACATCCTATAAACAACTATGGTCATTTAGGGACGTGCCAGGTTTGGTTTGGTTTGTTTGTATGTTACATCCTATTAACAGCTATGGTCATTTAGGGACGTGCCAGGTTTTGGTGGTGGAGGAAAGCCGGAGTTCCAGGTGAAACTTACGGTTAGTACCTGGCGACTGCCCCACGTAGGTCTCAAACCCGCGACCAAGTGGTGAAGGGCTAGTGGTAGCAGAATGTCAGACACCTTAGCCACTAAGCCATCGCGGCCCCCCTTTTTTAAAGTCTACAAATGATTCATTTTCTAGTTTTTTTGTTTACGTTTTTATAATGGCGTCTGCGAGGGATATGCTTTTTGGTTAAGGCAATAGAAATAAACTCACACTAAGGTATACTTGTATTCATACATTTACAATGAGCAGTATACATTGTCAAAACAACACCACAGATCTGTATGAATCGTAAGGTATTACAAAATCAAGTGGAGGTCCATTTATTTTCTTAATTTGCTTGCAAGAATACACTTCAATACACCTTCCTTTATGTAATAATAAGTGAACAGGGATTGTTGTTGTTGTTTTTGTTGTTGTTGTTGTTTGGTGTCGCAGATAATTCAGTTACGCAATTTATTTGAAATAGTTATATATATATGGAATGATGCTGAAAGATAAATTGTTATAAGGCGATCAAAACATATAACATGTTAGCTACTGTTATAAAATGTTATTTTTCCAGAATGAGCAAAAGTGCAAAAGGCCTGTACTCTTTAAACGAGCAGAAGAAAAGAGAAAAGTAAAAAAAGTGAAATGAGGAGAAAATGTTATAAGTCGATGAAATTACCACACCATTTATCTATATAGCGGTCAAATACCGAAGGATGTCAAAAAAAGTATTTGAAAACAGGTAAAATACCATAAAAAAGTCCAGACCATGTATTTATATAGAGGTCACCCGTAAGATGGCCATAACTTATATTTGTAAATAAGGCATATACCATAAAATGGCTAGCACAAGAATTTGTAAACAGGCGAAATACTGTAAGATGGCCGGAACATGTACTGGGTAAAAGTCATGATAGTGCTTGATGATTAATATTCATACTCGTTATACATAATGTATATCATACAATTGACCAGTATAAAAAAAGTGTAATAGGTAACATATTATTTAATTGACAAGTACATGTTCTTTCACATGTACTTATGATAATTCAAACGTTGCTTAATTGATCACTGTTTGAACGTGCAATGAATCGCACACTTCATATGATAAGACCATGTTTCGGAAATAATTCACATGGACCAAAACATGTTGGCGAAATAAATCGCATACTATGAAAAATGAATATATTGAAGTGTCAACCAAACCACAATGTGAGCTCAAAATCAATAAAACAGAGGCAAAAATATGAACAGAGGAAAGATTTACACGGAGACTTTGGAAAAAGTAATGGCAGACCAGATGTTCCGGAAGGGTGAGTGCCATGATAATCTTGATCAAATCCAAGTTATGTCACGTCCTCACACCGAGAGCTTGGATAAAGTCAACGAAATTACAAGACACACCAATGAGCACGGATAAAAAAAGATCGACCTTCAAACCACAAATAAGAGTAACATATTTCCCAGTGAGATCATGATGGCGTCCATAAAACTTATTCTCAATCTTCATTAACGTGCATCTTCAGAAACCCATGTCCGTCAGCTGTCATCATCTACAAGTACCACAAGAGTCTTGGTATTCTATGCAAGCTCTTCAATACCGAAACAATAGCGACATGTAAACACTGGAGGTTAGGGAAGTAGGGATATTATTATAAAGAAAGGGAAAGAATAACTGAAAAAATGTTTTTTTCAAAAGGTCACATACTGTAGAATCATTTCTTTTCGTGGGGTTTAAATTTCGTGGTTTTCATATACTAGCCTGTTTCAAGGACATTAGATTTCGATGATTTCTGATTTCCCCTAACTATATCAAGCCAAATTTATCTTTTTGTGGGTTTTTAATTTCGTGGATATTTGTTGACCGTGTTATGAATATAAATCGTTCAAATAAAATGGAACAAATGCAGTTTATGTATATTATTTATTGTTCTGATGATAATTTATTTTACAAAACAATTTCACTTACATGTTCGACGTTATTTATTGATTTATTTATCTATCTTTTTATTTATCTATCTATTTATTTATCTATCTTTTTATTTTTTCTCCTCATTTTAGTAAGAAAACGACTAAAATAAGAATATTTACATCGGTTTGAAAAATTACAAATTCACCAATAAATTTCATTTTCCTTATAACATCAAAGATCTATTATGTTTGATGGAGTTGCTGTAGCTAATCTTAAAGTTCCAAGAACTATAGATTATGCTTATACATATACATGTACTGTATGACTTAAAATAACCTTTTATCGGAAACTGGGTAATTGTTTCCTTTTTATCGATTGTTGATGAATTTACGAGACGCTATGCAGATTCCAAGGGATAGAGTTCTCTTAGTCGTTTAATAAAAAGAGATAAATCATCTTATTTCAAATAGAAATATTGGTAAAATAAACTTGCCTACATTCGGCAGGCGATATCACGCACGGGATGAACTGTCTAGATGAGATTAACACTGGATAGTATTTCCTGTCTCGGGTAGACAACCTATTGTTGTTAAATCTGATCTGGAATAATTCATAGACTCCATTAGGGTGGTTAATGGGATGACATGCAACGCCATATCAGTCAGATGAAGCAAGATGATTGGAATGACAAATTTACCGCAGCACTTAGTGTGTATTGGTCGGATGTTTTCCGGCATAAGTATAAAATGGACATCACGGTGAAGCATAATTGTTTTTTCATTTCTTTTTCAAATAATACATAAACATATCAAGTGAGTCTCCTTATGGAAAATAACGGTTGGATTTGGCTGATATATATTCATAATAATGAATACTTTAAGATTATCATCTGGATTTCTATTTGTCTGACCACCGATTTGGTGTGGGATTTCTCCCTATATCTACTTACGCATGCACATTGCACGCCATTTCATTGTAAACAAAATGACTGGCCGTGGGAAGTGTTTGCGAGTGAAAACCGTTACCGCCTCACAGCTACGAAGCGAAAAGTTGCCAAATGGAAGGCAAAGAGAACGTTACGGAAGAATTATTGCAGGTGGGAAGTATCCAAAGGAGAAAATACCTACCATAACAGTTACACTGTAGTACGGTGCATATGTTCTTACGATGATGCAATACTTTTTGTCTATGAATATTATTTTTCGACTTCAGATAGAATCGGAATACGCATTGAAAACGGGAAAAGGGTCATTCGCTTACGTTGTAAAAATGGCGTGTGCGGCCGATACTTGGGGTCACATACATACGTTTGCTTTTAGATTTACATAATTATTAATATATTCCCGGGTCCATTAAAATGGT